AGCTCAACTGTTGCCAAACAACTACAAACAGTTTGTCTGGTTTGTGGAGCAGCCTGGGACACACCTAGTGCAAATGTACTTAGTAAATTAAACTGGCTTCCCCTTTCAAGTAAACATATTAGTGATTGTAATATTCTTGCTTATGAAATGTAATATTGAAAATGTAATATTCTTGTTTATGGTACCATCTTACTTAATATACTTGTTCTCTTTCAATGATTAAAGCTATGACTTTTGTAAAAGTAAAACAAATGCGTATGTTCCCAAACCAACGACTAATTACAAAAAAGAAGTATTTCGTATTGTGGTGCTATCGAATGGAATAAATTAGGCCCCGATGTACAGTCTTCTTTCAATTTAAGTAATTTCAAGAACCACATTTGTATTATTAGTTAGTAAAAACCAAAGTATATTAGTATGAACATTGTATAAATTGCTAATTTACTGTTTTTAATTATTATCAAATACTAATAAGGTTGTTATTTAAATACTATATAGTTCTTTAATATTAATAGTATGTATATATATATATATATCACTATAAAAATTGGTAAGGCCATTGTATTCTATTTAAGCATTCTTAAATTAAATTTCAAACATAGAATAAAATGGCCTTCTCAATTTTTGGAGTGACATTCATACTGTTTGTACTCCTATATGTTTCTTATTATAACTTCAAGTTAAACTCTGCTGCTCGGTTGCTTGAAAAAGTTTCACACTATCAGCATTTTACACCAACATTAAATAATCTTCATTGGTGTCAAAATACTTATATTCAAATACAAATCTCTCCATGGCATTGCTCCTCCCTATATTAAAAATTTAGTTCATCTTAGGTCTAGTCAATACAGCTAACTCAGGTCTATCACCAGCACATTTGTTCTTCACAATCTACCTAGTCAATTGAAATCTTCCTTTTACTGTGCCATTACTATGGACTTCCCTCCCTTGAATTTCGCAATTCTCCTTCAACATTTTCAAAAGCTGTCTCAAAACATATCTTTTTCAAATTTTTCATTTCATTTCTTCTCTAACCAGCTCATTTTGTATATGCGTTTATTACAATTACATTACATTTATTGAAATATAACTTAATAAATTATATTATACTGTATATACTTAAATGATTACAACCTAATTAGGTTGTATTTATTTTAAGTAAATTTACTATACGATACAACAAACTGATACTGATGCTCTATAGTCAATTGCTTAAAATAAATACAACCTAAATAATTACTACAATATGAGTAGGAATAAATGGTGTGTGATAGCTCTATGCCTTAAAAAATACCTCTATTATGAAATGGTTTATTCCATTATTTGGTATTTATTCTTATTGGCATTTTTTCTGATATATGTAATTTATGACATCATCTTCACAAATTGGGTTCGTAAAATGGAGAGTGCCTAATTGGCATATGTTACTGTATTCCTAATCTTGTAGTAGACCATTTTTCCAAATAATTCACATAGGTTGAGAGAAATATATAATGTATGTAATGTAATGTCCTACTACCCAGCTATATGCCCCCAGCATCAGGCTGAAAGCTGCTGAGCCGCATACTTATAGACAAAATGTTGAGTTTTAAACAACATAAAAAATGATAGCAACCACCAGAATACAGTGACATTTCTTCTGCCAGACTGCATAACACAAAACACATGTATTCATTTTTGGTGACATTTTGAATTCAAAGATTGCATATTTATGTCTGTAAATAATATGTCAATCATAGTTTAATCATATGCCCTTAGCTTATACAGATTATAAACTGAAGTTACATAAAATTATCCATATGTCAAATGTCATTACATTCATCCATATTCATCAATCTTATGATCAGATCATTTTGTTTTGTTTATTTAAATGTTATTTAAATTTACAGTTCATGTTTCTGGAAATTATTGTTTCAAAGGAATTTTTTTTTAATGCAGTAATAGTATACATATAGGTTAGAAGTAAAATTTTAAAAATAAAAATGGACTGTACTGTATGTTAAGTATTCATAATGAGGTGACATATAGAGCAAGCCAAGCATCACTTAGCAATGCACATTTATAAGTATACTTAGATACATGATACAGTTAATGCTATACGCTAGAACCCCAAAGTCAAGTCCAAAAATAGCCTGTCGTCTTGAGAAATGTTTAGTAATTCACTAATAATAAAGTATTCAAACATATTTTAAATTTAAATAGCATAGTGGTTAATGTTCTTGTCTTGCCAATCTCGGGTTTTTCGGGTTAAAATCCTGTATTTCTCATAACTAGAAACTTACTAACACTATTATAATGAGACATGAGACCTTTGCATGTTTATTTGCATCTTGTAATTGGTAACTTGCTCTTGGATGAAATTGAAGTAATAATGATTATGAGGCATTTTGTAGTAGCAGAAAGGTTGTACAATATTTCTCTGCAATCATTTCATGTTTCTATATTTTGAATGTAATTTAAAAATTATCATAAGCTTATATTATTTGATACAATACAGTATCTTTTAATTTTATTTTCATTTTATGTAAGAGGGGAAGGGCAACTCTTTCAAAACATGCGACTCATCCAGTGTAGTTTATTTACTTTATTGCAACATATGTATACATGGATTACATTGGTGAGACTGGTACAAAATTTTGATTCAGAATTAATAATTTGAAACAATTGTTTTGTGATAATCAAGAAGGGTTACCTGTAGCCAAGCATTTTAAACAGACTGGACATTGTATCTATAATCTTCAGTGTGTAATCATTGGCAACAGTTTTTGTTAATTCTTACACAGCAAAAATCACAGAACTAAATCTAATTCTTGAACATAAAACTCATTTTTTGGACTCTATAAGGATCCTGGGATAGTGAGTGACTATCCTTTTTTTTAATCATTAACTAATTAATTTTTAGAATAATCATATGCATGTGATAAACTATTTTGGTTGTATATTATTTAGCAGTTTATTGTGATTTTAATAAATAATAATGTTTTGCACTTGGAAAGTTACGCATTGTGCAAGGTATGTTTTGCATTGTGCGTTCTATTCCCTATGTTTTTTCTGAAACTATTGTCATTTTCATTGCAAAAGACTGCAGGAGCTGTCAAAATATAATTTAATAAATGAAGTTGTACGAGACATGTCCATGTGTGTTTTAAAATATATAAAATATAATACTGTGTAACGGTAACTAATTTAGAAGTACAGCATTAACATTTATTGCTAACAAATAGTCTGACATTCTCAAAAAACAAAAGTTCTTTTCAGAGCTAGCTACATGGTGTACCACAAGCATTTTATATATAATTAATAATTATAATAATAATAATAATTGTAAGAATCATAATAATAATAATAACAATAATAATAATAATAATGCTCGTCTTCTATTTTATTGCAAATATTATAAAATAGTTTTGCCTCTACACACTTTACATGAACAAAAAGAAACATAACCAATACGCTTATCAGTGTTTACAGTTTACCATTGTTTCATAGTTTCTATTATGACAAATGAATCTGTTGAATATAATGATCAAACAGCTGGTGAAGAGCATTGATTATCATGCCAAAAGGGTGTATGCTTAACTTTGCTAAAATCCATCACATCAAGGTCACCAACAATACAATCTATAGATATTGTTTTCTTTAGAAATCAATTTTTTGACGTTAGCTGTCAAATTCTCTTTATATATTGATCTGTATAATCGATAATTACATTTTCCTTCATATTACTCATTCGTGGTACTCGTATTCTTTTAAATAGATTTATCTATGAAAATCTACCCTTATAAATATGTATTGACTGCTGATGCATATTTAAGATTAAATAATAAAATGATAAACAGTGTTGATAATACTTTTGAGTATAAGCTCCAGATAAGCAAGAGGGTAAACATTAGTAATACATCTTTAATCCATCATCTGAACCTAGATCAAATTTGATATTTTAGGTATTTTGTGATACCAGTAGTCTTGATGTACAAAGTGATATTACATATCACTTGTTTTGATGTGAGGTCCAATCAAATATTCGGTGCTAATTAATGACGTTGATGCATTGAAGTAGCTTGTTGATTCATGGGAGTGACATCAGAAGGATGAGGCAGCCAATTCGTTGATTTATGTTCTATTCACAGTGTTACCCTGCACTTCAATGATGCTAATAATAATGACATTTCATATCAGGGAAGTAGATTAAAACACCTACATCTTACAGCTTATATTCACACAGAACCCATTACCTTGTATGTGTTAAGTTACTCGCTTCTAAGGAATATAAAAGACAGCGTTATTGTTGGTATATTTATCTTCATTATATTTAATTATATTTATAAGTACAAGAACTTTGGTTTTTGCAATACAGTGCTTTTTTGACCACAATATTATGGATTGGCAATCAAAACAACATTATGTGGATATGCAAACTATTATTTTTTTTTATTTTTGATCCGATGACCTCGTTGGGGCGTCTGACGACATCCCACCGAGTTGGCGCCAAAACTGATGTGGTGCACAGGGTAAAATATATGCTCAAATCAAAATTGGCTTTGGTGTCGATTGCTTCATCTTTTACCAATTCTCCACATTCTCTGTGAAATCGCAAGGAACTAAGAATTTCCCGGAAAATGGCCCATCTCCTGTAAATTCATTATATCTACTTGTTTTTATTACTGCATTATCAGTTGACTGCTGGAAGTCAGCTGGTTGATAGGTATCACCCACCAGTCTCTACTGTAATGGCTGGAATGCTCATTGAGCAATTACTGTACAGCAAAAAATGAAGCCACGAATGCTACCATATGCATTTTTGACTTTTTGAACAATCAAGCCATTATAGTAGAGATCACTGGTATCACCATACACAACAAAATAAAGTTAGATGTGTTAAGAAAGCTCATCCAACAGATTTCACAGAAGTGGCTTCCTTCAACTTCGGACCCCTGCCTCAAATCAGCTCCCAGGCTGTAACTATTAGTAATTCATTGTTCATATCTGTTTCAACTTAGGTGTAGATGATCAGAATGGAGTAGACGAAGGGGAAGAGACAACATTGGGTAACTCTCTCAGTATGTCAAACAAAACTAATACAATATCTCCACAGCCAAAAGAAAAAAGGAAGTTTTTTAAGAAGGTATGTTCATTATTATTCATTATATTTCATCTTTAATTACATTCAAAATTAATGTTACATGGTAATTTATTTAACATTAATTGTTCCATGTTATATTTGGAACCCTATTGGGCAGAGGAACAAACTGCACATACTGTAGTTTTATATATACACATAGAAGCATCATCTAGAACCCTGGTTCTTAATTTCTTTGTAGGGCCAAATATTTTTGAGAAGATCTCGTTGGCCAAATGGATTCCACGGCTATCTGAGGCAATATATATTAATATAGTATGATATAAATGACATTTAGTCATGCAAACATGTCACTTCAGTTATATGAAGACACAGGCTTTGAAGATTGAAGCAAAATATTTTGAACAAAAAGACTGTAATCTTTTATCATAGCACATTATTTTTTATATTTACATAAAATAAACAAACACAAACAAACCATCATTGCTTGCTTAAATCATCACCAAATATGCTTTATTGAGTGTCCAAGTCCCAACAAAAATAAAACATCCTGTTTAATGGGAAAAGTCCATAACAGTTCATAACCATAACCATAAAATACAAAATTATAACATAATGAGGCTAAAACTGAAATACTAAATATGTTGTCAATGTTTTAAAATAATCAATGTCAGTGATAGAGGCCTTAGCAATTGCAGTAATCTTGTGTCAGTGTCAAAGATATTCGCATTAAGTCTCTGAGATGCTCATTTGTAAGTTGATTTCTGTATTTGTTTTTTATAAAAGTCATATTTAAAAAGCCGCTTTCACGTGTATACTACCAAACATGATTAAGATGGTGATGCCTAGCTTCTTCAACACAGGCCTTGCATTAGTAGCAATGTCCATGCACCAAAATTATCCCTCCCCTAATCGTGATATTCTCCATTATTTATGCAACTGCCATGCTTAACTCTGCCACATTCTACCATTCAAAATTTCTCTTGGCAATTCATGCAAATGCTAATTGGCTATGAATGTGCCATGGATGCAAATCTCATCATCGACGACAAATCCGTCAAATCGTGACGCAAAGTTAGATCAAACCCTCCATTAATTCAGTGTGGTTATCACAAGTACCCATCTATGTAAGTATTGAAAAGAACATCCACTCTGCACTTTCCGAGTCCTCTGTATACAATTCCAATCTGCCATGAAATCCATTTACAGCCGATACAATACCAAATCGATTATAGTGTGATCACGTCCATAAGAAATGCTATCACTTTGATATTTTCTGGGTTTCTCAGATACTGTTTAAATTCTGTTGCCTTTGCCAAGTTGACATCTGCCAGAAATTGAATAATCTCATTTCGTATGGCCAAAAAAACGTGCACATTTTTGTATAGAAGATCATCGTATTGAAGCATCGACTTGTAGAAATGTTTTCATATTGCTGTCTTAACGCAGCCCTAGGTTGGCCCTACTCAAACACAGTTTTTTTATCAAGGCATAGTAACCATGTTCACATGTGCAATCATTTCTTGGATCAGATAAGGTGACTATCATCGTCATTGACTTATCAACCTTCAGACCACCTATTAAGAACCAGGGATCTAGAAGAACTTGAATAGTTTACAATGATGCATTCTATTTACATCTAACAATAAGAAAACGGTAGCACTTTTTTTTTTTCTATTTACATCTGTTAATAATTTCATGCTGGCTCCCATTTGCTTAGAAATGGAAATAATTTATTTTTTTTTTTTATGTTTTTTATTATATTTTATTATTATGTATTAATTTTTGAGAATGTAATTAGTGTTATATTTTTAGATCTATAATGAAATTCAAATTAAATAGAAATGTTTGCATTTTTCTTTAATTTGTAGGCAGAGAACGTTCCTCCCTATGAAGTGGTACCTTCCATGAGGCCGCTGGTGTTAGTGGGACCATCACTGAAGGGATATGAAGTGACTGACATGATGCAAAAGGCACTTTTTGATTATCTGAAGCGCAAATTTGAAGGAAGGTATGTGTTTTAGTTTTCAATCATATTTATATACCTTGCGAACTTTGGATGGGCTACTTTTCGAGATGGGCTTCTTTTCGAGACTACTTTTGCAATGTAAAGAGGGGGGCTTCTTTTCAAAAAGAATGCTGTAAATTTTGTGAATTTGTACAATTAAACAATAAATAAGGTCATTGTGACATCAATCTGTATTATGGAGTGTATTTAACTGGAAGTAAATCACCTGAACTAATGTATAAACCAAGCTTGTTTTTAATTTATTTTGTTTTCTGAAATTCATGCACACTGTGCATCTCGAAAAGATCTTGAAAAGAAGCCCATGGCTTCTTTTCGAGGCTAATTTTGCAAACTAAAGAGGGGGCTTCAATTTGAGATAGGCTTCATCTCGAGATTAAGGCCACTGTGCTTCAATTTGTATTGTGGTAATTAATATGCATTATTTGTGTATGGTATGCATTGTTACATATGTAACAATGTCTTTTGGGTGTATAAAGCCCTGAAAACTCCACCAATCTAAATTTTATTTATCTTCATCATTATATTCATAACTGTGACAAAGGTAGTCTAACACTAGAAAGTTAATTGTACCATAGTTCCGCATATTTCTCCTTTCTTGAAGAAAATATATTGTTTTTCATGCTAACAGTGTCATCATCTTAAAATTCCATAAACTTCATCAAATATTATATTCAGGTGAAACAAGCGAGTAGGTCCTATCCATTGGCTAGTATAAATAAATACAGTATGGTACAATTATTTTTTACTGAAAATATCATATATTTAATTATCTGCTTTGACCATTTGGCCTAGTGTAGAAAGCCCAAACAGTCTAGGTTTTGGCCAGGTTATAATTTACCTGTATGTTATATACAACAATTGTCCTTCAGTGAAAGGAGCAATTTTATTTAATATGCAACAAATGAAATGAGGATAGTCCAGGTTAAAATATATCCGCCGCGCCACATTAGGCGTAGAAATTAAGACCTTGATAATTTATACAACACAAGTATTTACAATTTTTCTAGAGAGTTTTCCGTGCAAATTTGATTAAATTATGTATCCCCGCAAATAAAAATACATTTAATGTGGCATTGATTGATTACAATCTGCCGGCGTATGATACGGTCGCCCAAATAATGTGGTAAAACTCCTGGTTACATGGTTACAGCAGCGTGCAAAATCTCAGTGGCCAAGAACTGGGTGATCGTAGGAATCAATCATGCCTGGGAATTTTTTACTTGCAATCGTTGTCTTGATGACGGCTTCTAAACACAATAAGAAAACGCAATTCCTTATTGAAAGGGGGATAGCGGCTCCAATGTAAATTAATGTTAAAATATTTGTTAGATATTTTACATAAGTATTTATTAATTTTGTTATGTATTTATTTACAAATGGCTGAAATACTCATGAATATTATGCTAGTAAAATTGAATGATTATAGAAATAAAAAATAAATATGCAATAACATACTTTACTTTTATGTTTGACATGTTTTTCATGATTATTGCACAATAATATTGGTACAAGTAAAATTGTCTTCAGGACAAGTGAGTTATTCAAAAAGTACTTATCTTGAGACAAGTATAAAAATATGAAATTTACTTATGCCTCTTATACTTCCAATATTTTTTTATTTTTACACTATTTTTAGGCTTATACTGTCCATAAGATAATAAATATTTGAGAAAAACTTGTGTCCCCATCAGGATTCAAACCTAAGACCTTCCAATTACCATTCGGATACTCAACCAACTGAGCTATGAGGGCAAGTTGTATTCACCCTTACATTTTCCTATTAATAATAATAATTCTTTATTTGTCTTCGTATATGTATGCCTACACACTGGGAAATTCGGGCTGGGTCCCCGGAGACCCGCGGCTGCCATAGCTCGGCGCCAACTACCCCACTTACTCTACAACATAAAACGGATACAGACTGATACATACATGGTCCTTAACTCGCCTAACTCTCCCGAGAGGGTTATTCGAGGAGCTGAGCGTTTTTGTTATTATAAAAGACTCGAATACTTGATGCAGAGCCGGGTATCGAACCCGGGCCATGGCATGAAACAGGCAGGAACGATACCAATTAGCCAAATGCTTAGGACACGTTTTTTTCTCAAGGTATTGCGTAATATGCAATGAACTAGTAACTCACATAAAAGTAAATTTAGTATGGCATTATGAGCTTCAAAATTCTATTATAGTCTATTAATTTGGACTGTCATGCCCAAGGGCGGTTAGGTGTAAGGTAGTTAGCAATATATAACGCTGAGTTGAAGTAGGACTTAAGGGCCCCTCAGGATTGCACACTCATTCCCCACTCATCCAACATACCATCAAACTTTGGCAGTAGATTGATGGGAGGGTATGGTTTGATGAAAAGACAACTTATAACATAGGGTTGCAAGCTAACCATTAACCTATTGTCCTTCATAAAGATTAAAGCTTGAATTTTAAAGTGAAATTTGGCTGGACCTACGATTTTGAATGGTCAATAACTGTAATTCTTTATGTAAAATTATGGCATTTCGACTTCAGATGATTGCAGTTAGCAGCAACCGAATTGATCATTGGAACCAAAGAAACCATGGTCCACATGCCCAATGTTGTGGCATTTGTTGAAATGATATAATTCTGAATCTTAATACAGGGTATTGTCACTGACTTGTCAAGGCTCTTCACTGAGTTGATCGCACATGATAAATTCTATTTTTGTAGTTGAGTACTTAAGAATGCTACTCTCATTTCCTCAAGTGAGCAATGAGCCTGACAAATGTACATAAATACACACAAACGTACATAAATACATACACATACATACATATATATACATACACATATATGCATACATACACACACACACACACACACACATATATATACAAACATACACACATATACATACACACACAAATACAAACTCAATACAGGGTATTGTCACTGACTTGTCAAGGCTCTTCACTGAGTTGATCGCACATGATAAATTCTATTTTTGTAGTTGAGTACTTAAGAATGCTACTCTCATTTCCTCAAGTGAGCAATGAGCCTGACTAAAGCAGCATCGAAGCAATCCATTCTGTGAGATCAAGAACTTGTAATTAACATCTATGATAATTATACCGTGTTGCATGTGCATTTCATTGGACTGCGTCACACCTATAATCACTACTAAGAAAAATTAGTTCAAAATATAGGAATTTATAACGTGCTTTGTGGTTCGATGATTTTTTTGTCTTTTATTCTTTATATTTTTGTTCAGTGCTATTGAAAAAGGTTTATTATTATAATTATTATCATCACCATTAACATAATTGTTGAAATTCACAATCGTCATCATCAATATCATCTTTGCCAAGGTTAAATTATATTTTTATTTATTATTATTGTTATTATTACTATTATTATTATTATTATTATTGTCCTTTATTCATTTGTTATTTCAAAGTTATTTCAAATATCACCCTGTGTTACTAGTAAAGATTGCATCACACAGCTGAACGTTAGATAATCATGGCACCTGTTACCACCCATCAATTCATTACTGACTTAGTGGGCCTATCTCTTTCAATATTTCATTTCTATAATTTGAACACATGTGGTCAAATTGATTATTTCATTCTTGTTGAGATTGCTTCTTTTTTGCATCATTCCATGTTTCATTCATATACAATTCAAATGTATAGTCATTTCACATTCCACTAAATATAGAGCTCAATATTTTGGATCCTTGCTAAATATTTGGACAGTGTTACAGTCTTCTGCGATATTCTTTTCTTTTATGGAAACTAATCTTACACAGATAGGTATTCACACGGATGCAATATTTGGAGAGACATGTGAACTGGCTGAAGTATGAATTGAGCATAAGAGAATGAGATGAATTTTATAGATTTTTAATATAATGAAATAATATAGCTGAGAAGTTAATAATACTAATAATAATCATGAAAAAATGTTTGTGACGATTTACCGTGTGGTCGCATGCACAGTTCTGGAAGAAATATATCGTAGCACCATTCATTTAAATGTCTTACCATTATTGGCATATTTTGAGTTTATGTTTATGTCTATTAAAATATCATGAAAAACAATTTTACGAATCTACAAAATATTGGTCACACTACAAAAGCCACACATGTGAGAATTCATTATTTAAATTACGTTAGTACAGTACAGTTAAAGGAGCAGAGTATTCAGTATGTACAGTAGTAGGTCAGTGGAACATACCACTTCAGTGAGTGCTGTTGACACAAGCGCTTACTGTATATGTTCACTAAATATAATGGAATATTAAAAATATATTATAAAGTGACCATGTTAATCACTAAAATAAGTCAATATGTGACAAATAAGGAATGTCTACATCCATCACAACATTTAAGCATGTATTGTATAATCCATTTTTACCATATTCTTAATACCAGTATCTTACCTGCTTTAACATTATAAAATTCTAAAATTATAGTTAAAGACGTAGCAGTATAGAATATTGTGTTATATATTTATGCATTAACATCCCCTATGCATCTTTAACGGATGCATAGGGGATGATGTTCATCAACATCCGGACCCCCCTCCCCATCACCCTTAACAGAGTGCTTTTTAGCTGGCAAAAAAATGTACAGATATTGGGTGTATGTATGGGGTTGTGGGTCCTAATGAGAATAATTTTGTTGAGAAGTTAATAATTTTCTTGGTAAGTGCTTATTTTTTTTATTTTTTTTTTATTTCTTTACTCTTTACACTAGGAAAACCTGTTCAGTAGCATATCTATTGTTCTCCCACAGTAAAAAAGTCAGCAATAACATTCACAATTCATAAAAATGAGCAACATACATAAACCAGAAAAAATACATTAACATCCAGATCATAAAATTTTTTAAATTGTTAAAATAATATGAGAATATTACAAACATAATACAACAGCAAAAATGGCTAGTTATTAAAATTATTATTATTATTATTATTATTATTATTATTATTATTATTACCAGTATTACCATTATTATTACTATTATTATTAGAATTGAACGTTCTGATGCCCCTGTAGGCAAACCTCCTCCTCCTAGATTCGGTCCGACATTTGGGCAATGACAAATGTCCCGAAGAGCTGGCCCTAGTCCGATGGTTGTGAAGTCTACCTACAGGGGTAAAGATATTATCAAAATATGTTGAACTCTACCACTCGGACATTTTCGGACAATTCATGTTGATCTCTTCTATCCAGCAGTAAAGAACAGCCGAGTTGCTGATGTAGAGAAAAAATATTTGTTCGGATTTTAGCCCTAAGAATAGCTCGTGCAGCCCTATTTTACGTTCTCTGCATTCTGTCAGAGAGCCCTTTCCCACAACTACTCCAAACAATATCACAATAGTCAAAAAGAGGGAGAATAAAACCTTTGTAAATTAAATTAAGAATATTGTTATCAAGATAAGGACGTATCCAACATAGTAAATAAATTCTTTGATTAATTTTATTGATAGTCTTATCAACATGAATTGTCCATGATAACTGAGGGTCAAGCCAGACACCAAGATATTTTATACAGTTAACTGTCTGAATGACAGAGTTACCTATGTGAATTTCAAGTTTGTCTGTTCCTTTGAATTTCCTAGAGGATCCAAATAAGATTGCTTTAGTTTTGCTTAGATTTAAAGTGAGTTTGTTTTTGGTTAACCAATTAGCAACATTATGTAGGTCATGAAAAAGAGTGTTCTGAATGTCAATTACATTTTTAGATGAAAAAAATAAAGTAGTGTCATTAGCTTATACTGAAACTTTGCACTGTGTGATATAATTAGGAAGGTCATTGATAAAAATAATAAATAGGAGGGGCCCTAGGTTGGATCCTTGAATAACTCCATAATGAATGGGAGCAAAATCAGGGAGAGTACCCTTTATACAGGTCGCTTGTTGATGGTTATCAAGGTAAGAGGCAAAACCATTTTCGCTTGTGACAAGAAATTCCAAAAGTCAGTTTGTTGATAAGGGTTCGGTGATAAACTGAGTCAAAAGCTTTTTTTAGATGGAGAAAAACTCCACCTGTGAGTTGGCTTTTATCCATGTTATCAAGAATATAGTCTGAAACTTCAAAGAGGGCAGTGGATGTACTATGAAGTGGACGAAAACCCGATTGATGAGGGCAGATTAAATTTGTTTTTAGTTAGGTAAGAGTAGAGTTGGTCATGTACACAGTGTTCAAATATTTTCATTAAAACTGGGGTCTAATGTACACCTTTGGCTTATGTGCACTTTAAAACCCATTTTTCTTTCAGAAAAGTAGGGCTTGCTCTGATACTTGCTCTGCAAAAGTAGTCACCAACCATGTCCATACACAATTCATTACAATGATGCTGTGAGCTATGCGATATTCTCCTACATATTAATTTACCTGTTAGTCTTATGTACAACATGGTCCATGAATGTTCAAGAACAATACACTCTTTTTATGCAAAGAATTGTCTCCATGTATATTGAACTGCCAAATTCCCAACTGCACTGCAGCAGCTGTAAATTTTCGATGACATGCCAGAATTTTCTAATTTCTCAACTAGGCAAATGAGTTACTTTACTATATTAAAGATGTTTGTTTCTTTTCTTTTAGAATATGTATAACTAATGTGAAAGCTGACATAGCCTTGGCCAAGCGGCAGATAATGAACCCTAAGACGAAACACACCCTGCCAACCAGAACTTCCAGCACAGTAGGTAAGTCAACACAAACTCTCAGTGCCAGATATTAGTTCAGTAACAAAATAAACAATATGTATTGATGTGTAGATATCCATATTACCCTTGGTCTCATTCTGATCAAAAAACAGTAAGCATCGGTATGCAATGTAATATTCCAATATAATCAGCAGTGAATTACAAGGGCGGAACATTTATGTTTAAAAATTTAGAGCAATGAAAAAGAAAGGCTTTCTTAATTGCAACTATTATAATGCATGGATACATTCTTGTCTACTTATCGCTGTCTTTTGATTATCATATCTTAGTGAGTACAGGTATTTTGCAGTATTGCCAGTCTCTATTTTACATGCATGTTTTACATCCTAACTGCAAAGGGATGTATTCTGAAGTGATGCTTTAATAGATCTACTTTGAGACTGCCAAAAGCAGGTTATTCCAAACATGTAAATCTTTTTAAAAAAATGTGAAATATAATTATTTCTCTTATTGTATCACTCTATTGTAATATATCTGAGTGACTATAATTAAGTATATTAACATTTACCTTTTTTAGGAATGCCTTTAAATCTCTTTTTTGGAATTCTCAATAATTGCAATTATGAAACGAAAGTCATTTTCAAATGGCTACGAAATTATAAACATATAATTAATTTTCAAACTATATGATATATATTTATTTGACTATTACTATATAATTATAAATAACTTAAATAATCATTTGAATTATATATTTTTTTTATCATATCTATTTTATTAAACAAAGCACTGTAAAATATTAGTACAATAACAAGTAGATTTTTACAATACACTAGCTTTCAAGCACATTCTTTTATTAAAGTATGTATTTATATTATAGAAGCCTTTCCTAGCCAATTTGCAGTTAAGTTTGTTGTATAATGCCCAATTCATAGTAGAGAAAATTAACAAGTTGTTTTACAAGTTGTAACAATCTTGTGCACCTGAGATATTACTTTTCATATCAAACCATGTTATACTGTAAGTACTCGAAGCAAGTACATCTTTGCCTAGGCAAATTGGTATTAAAAGTAATTTGATTAACTTCTGTCCATTCTTCTGAGATACTATGCTTTTGCATAACATTTCACTTATTTACAGTGTGTTGTAGTTTACAGTGAAATTAAGAAGCGTTTATTTGAGTATATGTAAACTATTGAAATTGAAATGGTGGACAGGGGTAGCATAAGCAAAGTACATAGCTCAGATAAGCCAGCCACCCCTTAAAAAAATAAGAAATATAACTTTTGTTCATTTTGTATTTTTCTTTTAAAAAATCTCAATCCTAAATAAAGATAAGATAAAGATTTTATAAGATAAAAAGACATGGAATATAGACCATTTCCAAACAGTTAATATGAAAAATCTTAAATGTTTTGGATTTTTTATAATTATTCTTAAAAAGGCAATGGTATCATTACATCTTTTGTCTCATATGTACACTGTGCATTTCTAACTTGAGATTCAAACCCCATATCCATTGTTTCTTATAGCCTAAATATTAAGTTATTATGATGCTATGCTGTCATTCCCACTGAGGAACACCATTGAAATATGCTCATTTCACAAGCTGCTTAAATGTCATTCTTATGTCAAAGGTCACACTTGCCTTCATTATTAATGGACTAGAATAGCAATGAAGGAAAAAAAATCAAAATATCACAGGGTTAAATAAGCTTCTTATAAAACAATTCTGTAGATTGTGGGAGGTGGAATACTTGTATTTGACGATAAGTAATTTTACTTTCATAATTTTTTGGGAATAAAATACACAACTTTGTGCAAACAGCAATTATGAACAATATGTAATTACTGAAAGCAGAAGCTTTAGATGCAAGATCCTATTAGAGAAAAATAAATAATAAAATACATTAATTAGTAAAACATTTACAATGCATATATATACATGTCCTTATTTAAACACTGTATATGTACCTTTGATGCTTTATATTA